TCACATCACAGCTGTTAGCAAGGGTATGCTAAAACCAAAACAAATACATTGAGAACATATCAACTGTTGATGAGGATGCGGAGGACAGGAAATTCTGGAATATTCTAGATAGGTGTACAACATAGTGTAGCTGCATGGAAAAGAGCGTGGTGAAAATAAACCATTAAATAGAATTTAAATCTGGTCCCTTATATCTGACTTCATTTCCAGCTGAGTGTGAGGAAGTTCTGGGCTCATGTTGTGGGGAGAGGCAGGTGCAGGAGACAGGTGTATTTTGCTAAGCATTCCTACTATTCCAGAAAAATGGACCCCTGGTTGCCAGTCTTGTGAGACTGGACTCAATGTGAACAACGATACTGGCGACTCCTCCCACTCGTTACTGGATGTCTCTGGATTCCTAATCTGGAGGGAGAACAAAAGGAATCAAGTGTAGAAAACAACTCTTTTCTCTCACAAGAGCATGGAGATACTGAGAATCCTTGAGAGAGAGAGTCATGGAGCTGATGGAGATGCTGTGGGGTTTCGACAACCACAGGGGTCATTACTCACTGTTTCTCTTCATAGACATCAAAGGAAAACCTTAAAGAAGATAAAAGAGACAGGGGTTGCTGAAATCAATGAAATTGAAAACACTTGATATGAGTCAGTTTCCTCTGTTTGAAAATTACTTTATACACTTTTGAAATGGTGGCTACTGTACTTGCAAATACACAGAGGCACTGGTCTGGTTATAGGAGCTGATTTATCCCAGAATTTGGTCACTGTTAAAGTAGGCATTACTATTATAACAGTTCGCTGTAAACATGAGACGACAACTGTGTTTGTAAAGGTTTTAGAAAAGAGTTTGTCAGTTTGCTGATCACGATGAAGTTTGCAGGACATGATGATCAAGATGCTCCACAGGAAACTGATGGTGAAACACTACCAGTTCTGGACATGAGCTCTGAGATCCCGGGTGCCCCCTGAATACCTCAGCCACCCTGATGTCATGAGTGTCGCATGTCAGGATTGGTTTCATATAAGTTCTGGGCAAATTTATTTTCTTTTCATTTTTCTTTTTCTTTTTCTTTCTTTCTTTTTTTTGGGGTTATTAACATAACACTTTTTATTTATTTTTTCAAATAGATTGTTGTCAAGTTGGTTTCCTCCTTCTCTAAAATGTATTAAATTATCTGACTTGTTCATTTCTTAGGGTCTGATTTTCTTTACTGGACCTCAGTGCACATGTAATGAATCTTTGGTTTCTTTCTCCTGTTAATCCATCTCCCATGAACTTATTTATTTGTCCATAACAACCTCTGATGGAAGAGAATTTCTTCCTCCCCTTCACCTCCCTAGGCTCTGGATTCTTCCACATTCTACTTTTCAGCTCAGACACCAGCACTAGATTTGAGTGCACCTCACCCTGTGCTGGCGTGTAGACTCCTACCAATTAGGGGGTGTGACAAGTATGTTCTCAATCCTCCAGGGTCCCTAGTCTATCTTATCCTGAAGATAAACTCACATTGCCAGCAAACTTACGACATCAACTGGATAGGTCTGCGTCTGTAACAGTTGGGTCCAAACAGGCAGAAGGGCTGTTGTTCCTCCATAGTTCTCTTCATGTCCTTCTGTAGTTTACTGAGCAGTTGGCTCGGGCAGCCAGCTGGTCCTCCGTCCCAGATATTTCTGGAGGCATCCTTCCCAGAAACATGGGATGTGGCTGCTCCAGAATGGCAGGAGATGTTGGGAAAGTATGATTATCTGCCTGTACTGGAAGGTGGAGTGTATGATACAGATGACAGTCTAGTATTTTCTGCAATCATGTGTCTTTGAGACAAATGACATTCATGGAGACACAATGCATGTACAACATACAAGATTATCTGCACATGTCTAGTCTAGACATGAGCTGCAGTGAAAATGCCATTATTTTTTTCAAACGTTGTACATCTATAATGGAATTATGGGATAAATACTTAATCCAAAGTAATATCTAAAGCAGATGATTTTTAGCCTTGAAATAAATTCATTGCTAAACTGTTATTAGAAAGAAGTTAAAATCTTTAATTCAGGAAAAATAAATAAATTTCAATGCCACTATATGATCTAGATTATATTTTGGAAACTTGTGCAAATAATAAAATATTGAGAAAATGGGAATATAATATTTCGAGTGATAATCAAAAGCTAATTGTTACTTTAAGTTTTTTTGATAAGTGATGTTGCATCATAAATTCATATGTTAAATACAAATATGTAACCTTTTGTCAGACTTAAAATGTAGTATCAGTAGTAATTCAAAACAAAATTCTTGAAGTACAAAATCTAATAATATATTCAATAGCATATATATGTCATCATTGATTTTCAAAAGAGGAGTCATATTAAGGTTGCTAGAGAAAGAAGTTCATTAGAATTAGACAATGTATCCACTATTTTGTTTAAATGAATACATTTTTTAAAAGTAGTTTAAAAAATAAAAGTTTATTGTCCATTTGGTTTCCATGTAACACCCAGTAGTATCCCCACAAGTGCCCTCCACCATGCCCATCACACCCCTTCCCCTTCCCCTACCCCTATCTGCTCTCACTTCGTCCTTGGCATTCAAGAGTCTCTCATGGTTTGCCTCCCTCCTACTCCCACACTATTTTCCCCCTTCTTCTCCCCCATGGTCCTCTTTTAAAAGAATCCGATGTCCAAATATCTTACAATAACATAACTGAGCACAGTCTGCCCACTCTGCAGAGCAAAACTGGAGGCTAGAGTTGCAAAAACTGAATTAAATGAAATATATCTGAAGTCGACTGCTGTTGGTGAGAATTTAGTGGTGACGCAGGTAAATGAGAGAGACAGCGAGAGTCTGTACACCTGAGTCTCCTTCTCCAGGTTCACCTGGGTGAGTCCACACAACCTGAGCACAGTCACAAGGAAGCAAGTGTGTTATCAGTAACTGATCTTACACATCCTGGAATGTCTGAGACACACACACAGAGAATGACTGACAACAGATGAAGATCTCAAATTGGATGTGCTTCTCCTGAGAACGACCCTCCCAAAGAGCTTCATGCTCAGGGTGGCAGTGGTCCTGACCTCCTGTATCCATGGGGCACAATATCACCAAAGGGACAGAGGTATGACATCAGGTGCACACTCCTGGGATGTCAGGAAAATGTAAGGACGCCGAGAGTAGAAGGGCACTTCCTGTGTCTCCTCTGAGGTTGGGGTCAGTGCTGGTTTCACGCAGGACACCGCATTCCCTGTCCATCAGAGGCTCACGTCCCTCATAACACCGCACTCCGTTTCCCGGATAGAGAGGAAATAAAAAGGCATGGGAAGAAATGCAGAGGTTTTTTCCAGGTTTGTTTTGTAACCACATCCTTGTCCCATATTGAACAATGTCCTGTTTTTCTGTTATATGTTAATAGGCAGTTGTTGTCTGTAAATGATGAGGGTGAAGTGTGATATATTCCATGTCAACATCTCAAGTAGTGCATAAGAGGTTGTGCTCCAAGAGAGCAGGGAAGGTTTTGCAGGAGAAATGACGACTGATCATCGCTCAGAGCAGACGGTGGATCTCTGTGTGTGGGGGGAGTTTCTGGAAAATACCACCTAAGGAATCACGATGCAGATGCACAAGTGTTGCAGGATTCTCACCCAGAGAGCCGTGACACTGAGACTTTTCTTTCCAAGAAGCAACTTTATTCTTCCTGGCACCGCTCAGTTGGGTTCGTAACCAAAAGAACTGAGCGGCCCACATCACAGGGCTTAGTTTTTTATACATTTTCTATTTCTTTGTCTCCCATATATGGTGACACACATAAACATGCAGTCTGATTAAGTTGTCTCAGTTTACAAGAACATGGGGGATGTAGGCACCTGGGCGCATATCTAGGTGATTTTGAAGTCTTCTCTCCTCTCTTCATTTTTTTCTCTCTCCTTAGGGAGGGGTTCCTACCACACATGGACGGTGAGCATCACCATCTATGGAACAGGGGACATTGTACTGTGAGTACATTCGGGACCCTGGGAAGGAGATACTGTCCTGGAGTTTGCATGGACATGAATGGAATCACAACACACTTATGAGAGCAAGGTAGAGACACATTCACTATTCTACAAGGAAAAACGACCTGATGTCTGTGGTAAGATTCTCCCTGGTGGATTCTGAGGAAATAACATACCATGACTAGAAATTCAAGATGTGCAATTGAGCCTCAGAAGGACACACAGCTCTGATGACATTTTGTGTCAGATCCAGGTTAACTGATTTCACACTTATGAAAAGATGAAGCCCATGAAAGTTTTATACACTCCTATTTCCCTCTCCCCGCCTGTGTGTGTGTGTGTGTGTGTGTGTGTGTGTGTGTGTGTATGAACTTCAAGTTCCACATCCACACAATGCCGTGGTAGGGGTCCATGTGGTTTCCCATGCGTTCAACTAATATTGGTGCAGTGAACATCCTTCCCACAATGAGCCCACCAGGAGCCTGTCTTCTCTAGATGAAGATATTCAGCGCCTCTGCAGCTTCGTGTCCACCATGCACTGTATGCGGCTTCTAGTGGGCTTGCACACTGAGCTGGACAGGCGTGTAATAAACAGTGAGTGCAACAGGGAATCTTGTAAAGCTCTATTTGATATTCATCAAGATATCTGTAATTAATTCATTTCTAGTGGGAAGGATTAAGCTAGTGCCAACACCTCTGTCTTCTGTGCATGTTCCTATACGTTTCCTATTTCAAGTATCTCATTCAGAGACTGAAAGTTAAGCACAAAATCATGTGTCCATAAGGGCTCCCTGGGGGAAACTACTCTATGGGGAGGAAGCCCCAGACCCTGACAGGAAACCTGCCTGTAACCTCCATCTGTCCCTGCTCCTGGAATATAAACCAGAAGTGTGCAGAGTGTGCGCCCCCTGGTGGTGCTGATCCCCTTCTCCAGGGAGGTTTGTGTCTGGGCTCACCCTGATGACTCCTCACTGTGTCTCTCGCACAGAAATACGTGGCCATGTCTTCGGTTCTCAGGTGTTCATCTGCAGATACAGCATGTTCCTGGCGTTGCCTCTGGAGATGGTGAACCAGCCCTTCACGGAGTCTCCGTAGTATTTGCTTCCACCACTATAAATGTATGCAACCCACTCCAGCCCCTTCCCTGGAGCCTGGCAGACCCAGCTCATGTAGGAGCTACTGAAGGTGAATCCGGAGGCTGCACAGGAGAGTCTCAGGGACCCTCCAGGCTTCACCAGGCCTCCCCCAGACTCCACCAGCTGCACCTCACACTGGGCACCTGTAGACACAAGACATCCTGGTCAGGAAACAGTCACACATCTAGTGTTTCACTAACTCATATCCATTCACACACTCAGTGTCTCTTGTTCACCATGAATTACCTTTTAAAATGGCAACAAGGAAAGCCCAGCGAAGCACAAACTCCATGGTGATGTCTGTGTTCTGTCCTGATCAGTGAATGGGAACACCTGGGACTCCCGGGGCTGGGGCTCCTCTCCCAGCTGCAGGGTCAGGGCTGGGCCGGTTTAATCAGCACAGGGAGGGTCTGATTTGCATGTCCTCTGCGTATATAAGCAGCTATGTATTCAGTCGTTACAATGAGGGCCGTGGCCTGAGCAGAAGTAAATCTCTATAATTTGGTGTATTGATAGCTTTTGGATAAATAAAAGCTGTTATTATCACTTTCCAGAGATCACACTTTTGCTCCATATGAGACTTTGGTTTTACATTCGCACACTACTCGTGGGGTATAGGTGTCATCATATCCTGTAAGCAGATGTGAACCCACAACCAAATTGTAGAGAGTGGTGAGGTGTCCAGGTGCACGTATGTGGTGAGAGTGAGCCCAGGATCTGGGCCGGTGCTCCTCCCTACAGGACTTACGACCTCCCTCAGTCCACCTGCAGGCCTGAGCGGGCCGGCTCCTGAGGAATGTGGAGCACTTTCTGTAATGGGTCCATGATGATTTTGCTCGCTCTGGAGTTTACCTTACATAGAGAGGGAATAGGGTCAGTGCAGGTGTATTTTAAGTCTTAAAATGTCACTATCACTGTTCCCTACTGAGTAATCTCTGTGTTTATTTGTAAGAGCTTTGATGCATGTACCGGACATAGAGTGAGGTGCACATGCTGAGTGTGTGATATGATAGAATACTGATGTGAGTCAACGTGATCAAGACTGAACACATAATTCCCATTAAAATCTCTTATAGTTCCCCTGGAATTCTTTCTTCCTAGTTCCTTTCTTCACCGTGTCCCCATAGAACTATTAATCTTTCTCATGTTTCTTCAGGTTAGTTTTGGTTTTATAGAATGTGTATATGTGTAATTATATTATATGAACTTTATTTGTAGGGCTTCTTTTGCTCAGCATAAATCCTTGTCAATACAACCATGTTGTTGTTTGTACCAAGAATCATTGGTTTTAAAGTTTGACCGCTTTGCAACAATTAAATTCACCAAATGTTATTTTTTTTTGCAACTTTTTTTTTAAATATTTTTATTTATTTCTAGGAGAGAGAGAGAGAGACAGCGTGAGCAGGGGAGGGTCAGAGAGGGAGGGAGATACAGACTCTGAAACAGGCTCCAGGCTCTGAGCTGGCAGTCAGCACAGAGCCTGACGCGGGGCTCGAACCCACGAACCGCGAGATCATGACCTAAGCGAAAGTCGGACGCTTAACCGACTAAGCCACCCAGGCGCCCCCCAAATGTTATGTTTTAAGTGGCTTTATTTTATCAGAATTTCTGACAGTGTCTGGTATTTTAATAATTTTTTTCTCAGCCTTAAGACGTCGATGTGAAGTTTAGAGAATGTGTGATTTATATGACTTCCATAGCAACCAATCTGAAGCAGAGGCAGAGGATCAAATATACATCAGTGTAGGAGTTTTTCCTGTTCTGATAAGTTGTTTTTATTATTAGAAGTTCATAGAAGCTTCATTTAAAAATTTGGAATATAAATAAAACACAATTAATACTAGAGATTATTTATGAAGATGTTCTTAAGTATTGCGGGTAGTGAGGTGAAGAAAGTTTTTAACATTTTATTTAAAATAACTTTTTTTTTTTTTACAAATAGTTTATTGTCAAATTAGTTTTTACATAACACTCAGTGCTCATCCCCAAAGTGCCCTCCTCCATGCCCATCCCCCCTCCCCCCACATCCATCAGTCCTCAGTTTTTGTCAGCATTCAAGAGTCTCTCATGGTTTGCCTCTCTCCCTTTCCCCCACCATTTCCGCCCTTCTTCTCCCCCTTGGTCCTCCGTCAAGTTCCTCCTAATCCTCCTATACGTGCAAACATATGGTATTTGTCCTTCTCTGCCTGACTTATTTCGCTCAGCATAATACCCTCAAGGTCCATCCATGTTGCTACACATGGCCAGTTAAAATAACTTTTTTATTGGATTGTTTGTTTTCAAGTGTGGATTTGGTGAATTCCTTATAGATTTTGGATATTAGCCCTTTATCTGATATGTCATTTGCAACTATCTTTTTCCATTCCGTCAGTTGTCCTTTAGTCTTATGGATTGTTTCCTTTGCCATGCAGAAGCTTTTTTTTTTTTTTTCTGGTTTGATTCTACCGTTGTTCTTTTTTTCTTCATAAATCGTTTATTGTCAAGTTTGTTTGCATATAACAACCAGTGCTCATCCCCACAAGCGCCCTCCTCCATGCCCATCACTTCCCTTCCCCATCAGCCCTTAGTTTGTTCTTGGCATTCAAGAGTCTCTCATGGTTTGCCTCCCTCCCTCTCCCCAACTATTTTTCCCTTTATCTGTCTCATTGTCCTCCGTTTACTCCCTCCTAATCCACCTATACGTGCAAACATATGGTATGTGTCCTTCTCTGCCTGACTTATTTCGCTCAGCATAACACCCTCTAGTTCCATCCATATTGTCACAAATGGACAGATTTCATTCTTTCTCACTGCCCTGTAGTATTCCATTGTATAAATATACCACATTTTCTTGATCCATTCATCAGTTGATGGGCACTTAGGATCTTCCATGTTTTGACTATTGTGGAGAGTGCTTCTTTGAACATTGTGGTACATGTGACCTATACATCAGCAGTCCTGTATCCCTTGGGTAAATTCCTGACAGTGCTTCTGCTGGGTCATAGGGGAGTTCTATAATTCATTTTGTGAGGTTCTTCCATACTGTTTTCCAGAGGAGCTGCACCAGTTTACATTCCACCAGCAGTGTAGGAGGGTGCCCTTTTCTGCACATCCTCGCCAGCATCTATAGTCTCCTGATTTGTTCATTTTAGCCACTCTGACCGACGTGCCATGGTATCACAGTTTGGTTATGATTTGTATTTCCCTGATTAGGATGGATGCTGAAAATCGTTTCACGTGACTGTGGGCCATCGGTATGTCCTCTTTGGAGAAGTGTCTGTTCATATCTTCTGCCCATTTCTTCATTGGATTATTTGTTTTTCGGGTGTGGAGCTTGGTGAATTGGTTATAGATATTGGATAGCCCTTTACCTGATATGTCATTTGCAACTATCTTTTCCCATCCCATCTTTTGCTTCTTAGTTTTATGGATTGTTTCTTTTGCCTTGCAGAAGCTTTTTATCTTGATTAGGTCTCAGTAATACATTTTTCCTCTTGATTCCCTTGCCTTTGGGGATCTGTGAAGTAAGAAATTGCTGTGGTGGAGGTCAATGAGTTTGTTTCCTGCTTTCTCTTCTAGGATTTTGACGGTTTCCTGTCTCACATTCAGGTCCTTAATCCATTTTGAGTTTCTGCATGAAATGATCTAATTTCTGCATGTTGCTGTCCAGTTCTCCCAGCACCATCTTTTAAATAGGCTGTCTTTTTCCATTGGATACTCTTCCCTACTTTGTCAAAGATTAGTTTGCCATAAATTTATGGGCCCAATTGTAAGGTCTCTATTCTATTCCATTGCTCTATGTGTCTGTTTTTGTGCCAATACCGCACTCTCTTGATGATGACAGCTTTGTGGAAGAGGCTAAAGTCTGGGATGGTGATGCCTTCCGTTTTGGTTTTCTTCTTCAATATTACTTTGGCTATTCGGGGTCTTTTGTGGTTCCATACAAATTTTGCGTAGTTTGTTCTAGCTTTGACAAGAATACTGGTGCAATTTTGATTGGGATTGCATGGAATGTGTAGATTTCTTTGGGTACTAATGACATTTTAATAATATTCTTCTGACCCATAGAAGTATAAAATGTTTTTCCATTTCATCGTGTCTTTTTCAATTTCCTTCATAAATTTTCTATAATTTTCATCATACAGATCTCCTATATCTTGGGTTAGGTTTATTCCTAGGCATTTTATGGTTATTTGTGCAATTGTGAAAGGGATCAGTTTCTTGATTGCTCTTTATGTTCCTTCATTGTTGGTGTATAAAAATGCAACCGATTTCTGTATAATGATTTTGCACCCTGCGAAATTGCTATATTCATGGGTCAGTTCTAGGAGACTTCTGGTGGACTGTGTCGGGGTTTTGTTTTGTTTTTTGTTTTTTGTTTTTGAGTCCTAATTGCTTTTTTTTTTTTTTTTGGTGGACTGTATTTCTATTTTTTAAACGTTTATTTATTTTTTAATTTATATATATATATATATATATATATATATTGACAAATAGTTAATTGTCAAGTTGGTTTCCATATAACACCCAGTGCTCATCCCCACATGTGCCCTCTTCCATGCCATCTCCCCTTTACCCCTCACACCCATCAGTCCTCAGATTGCTCTCAGCATTTGAGAGTCTCTCGTGGTTTGCCTCTCTCCCTCTCCCCCACTATTTCCCCCCTTCTTCTCCCCCATGGCCCTCCATTAAGTTCCTCATAATCCTCCTACATGTGCAAACATATGATATTCTCCTTTTCTGCCTGACTTATTTCGCTCAGCATAACACCCTCAAGGTCCATCCATGTTGCTACATATGTTCAGATTTCATTCTTTCTCATTGCCATGTAGTATTCCATCGTAGATAAACCACATCTTCTTGATCCGTTCGTCCGTTGATGGACACTTGGGTTCTTTCCAAGTTTTGGCTATTGTTGAGAGTTCTGCTATGAATATTGGGGTACATGTGCTCCTATGCATCAGCACTCCTGTGTCCCTTGGGTAAATCCCTAACAGTGCTATTGCTGGGTCATAGGGGAGTTTTATTGTTAGCTTTTTGAGGAACCTCCACACTGTTTTCCAGAAGGGCTGCATCAGTTTACATTCCCACCAACAGTGTAGGAGAGTGCCCGTTTCTCCACATCCTCGCCAGCATTTAGAATCCTCTGATTTGCTCATTTTAGCCACTCTGACCTGCGTGACCTGGTATCTCTGTGTGGTTTTGTTTTTTATTTCCCTGATGATGAGGGATGCTGAGCATGGTTTCATGTGTCTGTTGGCCATCTGAATGTCCTCTTTGGAGAAGTGTCTGTTCATATCTTCTGCCCATTTC